TACCTGTCCAGTGGGCGCGTTAAAAAGTTTGTATCCTTCGGGTAATCAAACATGATAAACATGGCAATTGGACATCCCCTATGAATGGACATAAATGGAGCAGTTTTAGTGGGAACATCATCCATAAATGCAGGATTTCCATTCCCATGTTTCACTACCGGAGGGACCCATACCCCTGCCAAAAATGGAATCTGTTTTTTTAAAAAGAACATGCTTGCTACGTGGAGAATTTGGGCCCCAACTGTGCCATGTTCCAAAACTTGGCTGAGTTTCCACTAAGAGTGACCGAAGTTTGTATGGTTAGTTGGGTTGGGTGCGGGTTATATAGATGTTCACCCCACGACTATCTCCCAATCTTCCATCTCCATGTTGCCATGTTGCACAGCATCCACCTTGCCACAGCCCCCCCTGGTGGCCTGGTGGCCAAAAGGCCGTCAACCACTTCTCTGCCAAATCTGGACGCTTGGCCAAGGCAGCCGATTCCAACAGCTTTCCGGTGGAACGGGCCTGGGATCTGGGTGTTGTGAACTGTAATCCGAATTGGCGAACTAAGATACGATGGAGTCTTCAATGAGAGTTACTGTCCTGCATTCTTTTCAGGGGTCGCCCTGGTGAACGTTTGATGTCATGCGACAGACCGCATCCCTAGCGAGATAGTGATCCATTCATTTGAGGGATTTTTGGCCCCTTTGCCCCAGAGGTTGCCAATCCCTTGCTGCTTAAAAACATTGCCTTCATGATCCCTTTCTGACTCCGGTTTTTCCGCCACAGAAAGCCACAACACCCACATTGCCATCCCCCCGAATCTCCCTGGCTGCCAAAGCACGTTGAAACTGCAGCGCAAGTCATCTTTCATGACCTGTTTAGACAGGGGCACCATGGGGCACCATGGGACACCTAGGCCTGGCGGATGCCCACCTTGACCCACGAGATGGCACCTTCTGGATCTCCTGCTTTCACGTAGGCCTGGCACAAAAGTTGTCACTGGAGATGTGATATGCTATGTAAGCAGATAGGGCGTATACATGGCATACAGTATAAGTATATATACATTATATATATACACACACATATATATATATATACATTATACACTAGTATCCCCCCATTGCCTTCTATAGCGGTTTGAAGTATACAAGTTTTTCTATGCAATATATACTCTGTATGCGAGCTGCGTAAATGCGGCAAAAAATAACTATAAATATATGCCAAAAATATCCAGAAGGTGCCAATGCAAACATATTTCAATAGCAGGGATGATTGAATAAAATATTGCAATAAACCTGGACTTCAATTGATAACGACGACATGATGAGCGAAGGGTCAAGATCCAGAACTCAGAACCTATACTTGAATTCCCATTGCTGAGTAGTTTATCAGCTTCATGTGGGTTTTGCGGGTGGATTTCGGGGGTTAGTTTCATTATCCTGCTGTCATTTAATGAAAAGTCAAGCATATTCAAGGTTCCAATTGTATCCAATTGTGAAGATGCGGTCCAAACTATCACGGCAGTGATATATTACTGGGCAAATTATAATATTTCACTAACCTGAATTAAGGCCCATTTGGGGATGATTTCCCTTACTAACCATGATTTCCAGTGAGGTCGCAGTGAGGTCGTTATAATTTACCCAGATATATCCTATTTTCAGACTGAGCCATAGGCAGTTGATTCGATGCCGTCCCGCAGCTGCCACCGATCCACCTTTAGGACCGTGTTCGCCAAGGTTCTCCTTAGATGTTCCACCAAATTCTGCTGATCCCTGCCGAATAATCCCTTAGCCCCAATAACCATGGTTTAGTATTGGATCAATTGATTTTGAGGCTCATATGGGGGTATCTATTTAATATTATCTCATAAATTTATATTCGGGGCAAAGAATTCAACCTACTGACGTAATGCAAACTGATTAGCACTCAGCACACTTTTGCATAATTTCAGCTTATTTTTGGTTTCTTTTAGGACAATGTGTGTAATCCAAGAGGTTTTGCTCCTAACATGCAGGAGTCATTGCTCCGCACTCCCAGCCGTCCATGTCCACAGTCCACATGCCACGGCCCTTTTTGGCTTGTTGCTGTCAGGCAAGAGGAGTCGTGGGAGTCGTGTTTCTCAAAGGTGTCTAATCAAACTGCAGAAGGGCATTGAGCACTGTAGTAGATCTAATGGATCCCAAAATAGCCAGATCCCAGAAACCAACCGAGGGGGAATGTTTTACATCATCTCAAATTCAGAGCATTTGTGGAATCTTTGGTGCTGTTTATCACTTGATTTTATCACTTGTTGGGCAAAAGCACTAAATGATTCCAAAGTCATTAGCGAAGTCAGAATTGCCAACAAAACAGCACCCAGAAAACCCAATGAAAGGCCATGATTGCAAGAGGATGGAGTCTTCACAAAATGTCCCTCACGCCTTTGGCGGGAAACATAGAAAGTGAACGTAAGTGAACCATTCCAATGAACCTATGTTTTCTCTAAAGGCCATGTGACGGTGAGAAATCTGTTCATCTATCTTTTGTTTAGCTGACTGCTGCTTGGGACTGTCAAGGCTCGCAGAACGAGCTCTAGGTACACCCAAGGATGCCCTACTCTGGCGGAACGTGTGAAACCTTCCCCATACTGTTGAACATTGTCATCATGCTGGATTGAATTTCTTGTTGCCCTCCTATACTTGTGAGAATTCGTGAGACATCCTTTGCCGCGTCACTCTGCGGCTGTGAAGTGCGCAGCCGTATTCTGGGACAGCTGGACTTGGGACTTACGAATAGATTGGCATTTCAGCAAATGGCCATTTTTTATCATTTTAACCGGTGAATTGAAATTTGTTGACCCAGCTTGGAAGCTTCCTAATTGCACTTTGGAACCCCAAGCAATGATCCGAACATATTCAAATAGCCACACCCAAAAGGAATGAGCCTCAGTCCAATAAGTCCGCCAGGGCCACCTACTGGATGATTTATGTCAGCGTTGGGCCGTTTGGCCATGGAAATTCTTGAACTTCACGTCGGTGATTTGGAACTCCGGGTCATTCTTTTCCTCACATGGCCAGACCCTGAAATGAACATGACTCCCACTTACAACATATTGAACATCAGACTAGGATCCAGATGGCGGAGGAGAGTGATGCGCAAACCAAGCCTACACATCCACAAACAGAATTGAGTCAAGAAGTCAGCGATGAGACGCGTCAAAGAATAAGGGATACGACTACGGCAGAATAACTTTGGACACTAGGCCACCAGGGGTGGTACAGTGGTACAGTGAATTATGTCAATTATGTCAGTGATTCTGTGCGCTATTCATCTGCCTGATTGTAATACCCCTGCAACATTCCTGTACAAAATCCTGAGGCCATTGGGATCCTCGGAGCACATCCTACCCGCTTGTGCACTTTGCCGAGTGGACTTTTTTGAGAGTTGGAAACAGAGCAACATCGAATAAACTCGTTGTAGCGGGACATAACTTACACCACAAGTCAAGTAAAGCAACCGCCACATGCCATGGCCACACAATCAGCCCCCGGGCAGCAGTCTGCATGCCTAGTTTCCTCTGGTACGCCCTTTTGCCGTGCCCGTACCTTTCGAATGTGTCTTTCCAATTGAGCTCGGTTCAAGGGATAGCCTTGGAGCAAAGTGGGCATGGGAGTTTTGGCAAGGACAGCCTCTGAGTCACGGGTCAAGAAAACATCAAATCGTCACGTTTGATGCAACCCCAGCGAAGTGAAATATATAGAGTTTTTATATGTTTTTATTCTACCATATTCATCCATATTATACCATATGTGCAGGGATGTTGGTATGGGCCGGCACCAAATAATGGACCAGCTATAGCTACAACCAATGCTGTTGGTTCTTGGATGTTCCATCCATCTCCAAGCAGCAAAAGGGTTCCATCTCCAAGGGGTCGCGCACCAGCGTGTTGTTCCAGCGATCGTTGTTCCTCCCACAGAGTCACTATGACCGTCCGAAAAACTTAGCAGGGCGAGTAAGCCCAATCCCAGGCAAACCACCAAGTATACCCATCAACCATGATGGATGATGGATGATGGATGAGGGTAGTTCTCTCTCTCTCTCTTTCCAGTATCATTGAGTCAAGTGCTTGGAGCCCAAGTGTCTTCGATATCCGTGCACTCATGGGCTTTGGACCAATTGGCTGGTTGACCCAACCACCCTCCTCGCAGCAAAGCAACCGGAGTGGCCAAACGTAACGTCACTGAGTGCCGCTAGTCTTATTTTAGTAACTTTATTACAATCATTTACAATCTATATATTGTCAGGTTGGCCCTCCAAATTTGAATCTGCGCCATCAAATCAAGGATCTCTAAAGAGCAAAACCTGGTGCCTTGCTGCACAATGCAATTGCCACCGTGTTCCCTGACTGCAAACATTATTATGTATCATTCAATATCACCAAAAATAAGCACCACCAACATCCTGAAACAAGGACATTGAACACTTAGCCCCTGAGCAACAAGGCAATCAAGAGCTCCAATCTTTTGAGGCGGGCGGCAATTTTCATGCGAACATGTGCGCCATGGACAGGTATGGTTCATGAATACCAATGACCGAAGAATCAAGCAAAGTGGACACCTGTCACTTGACTTGCTGGCGCTTCAAGGCATCTAGCCATCTACAGTAAAAAATGCATGAACAATCAACAGAATTCCCGAGGAAAAATGCTACCATGATCTGATGTGCACGGCCATGGGCATCGCATCCCATTGTCCTTGCCGAAGATGGGGAAGGCTTTCGCTCGGAGGGCGCAAAGCTCACGGTTCTCCTTGCAGAACTGGTGGATGTTTGGTTGACGGGCTGTTAGGAGTATGTGATGTTTGACCCTGTTTAGGTGTCGTGCTACTTCACCAACAATGACAAGAGAGAAAGATGCAACATTAGAAGGAAACCAAACTAATTCAGAGTTGTTGCTGCAATTTTCGAATACGACCAACTGATACCCCCAAAAAGAACCTGCGAGTCTAAACGCACCATCTGAAACACTGGCCACGTGTCCTCCATGCTGCCGACGTGCTCTGTGCGATATCGCCACATGTCCTTGAAGTTCAAGGTGGATTTGAAAATGTTGGCGAAATTTGATGACGCACTTGACTTTTTAACAGACACACCTGGGTAAAACGAGTGCAAGGAAAGTAAAAACCCATCAGCACTTCACTCGGACAAGCAAAGCGGGCAGGAAAAACACGCAATTAATTTTTGAAAGCAACATAAAGCAGCAAAGCACTGATCCTCAGGCTCAGATATCAGAAGCATAAGGTAGATACTTAGATACTTCTTAGATTGGCCACATACAGTCAAACCATCTACCAAAATCTTCAAAAATGTTAATTATCCAGGATGGTCTTTTTACATCGTAGCTGAGACCATCTGCCAAGATTGGTACAACGCTCTCTGGTCATGGCAATGGAACACCCGTTCTTCCAATTGGAAACCGATCTATGGATTCGGTATCTGCAGGCAAACTCACAAAATGGACGGATATTTGCACAATTAATTATATCTAATTACTAATTACTGTATATATATATAGTATATAATCTTATAGATACCCAAGTATATTATAGATATAACTTGATATTCCTGCAACGTATTTAAGGTCGGCCCAATTTTCCCAGTTACGCAGCGAACAGAGACTCCTCTTGCAGAAATTCCTCTCTTGGCTCGGCTAAGACGTTCATCACCATCACCTCCCAGGGCCATCGAAAGGATGGGCTTCGGCAGGCGTAACACATGTGAAAAATTGTGAAAACATGTTAAAACATCGAAGAAAGCCAAAGAAATCCGGAGAAAAATGATGAAACATACATGACATGAATCATAAATCCAATCTAGATGAACCCTGTAAACTGTCCATCATACCAATATATACCATGATGGTTCTTTCCTGGAGCCACCCTTTGACCTTCCGTGAGACGTCATGGGTCATCTTGATCCGTCCGCTGCAGGCAGCTTGCAGAGATGAGTTGTGCATCACCTCAAACTAGGATGACCATGTGCCCAGTGACCATTTCCGATAAAAATCACATGTGTATGTATGTATATATATATATGTATGTCATGCACATACGTTCAGATATATTTATGCACTTGCTTAAACATCTGGGTATATACAGTATATAAATATATGTATATGCATTCGTATAGATAGCAGCAAATGATAAATGTTTTTAGTTGTTTTTAGCATTTTTTTAGCGCCTGGGGTTTTACCGATCACTTACAAACATTGTGGTGTTTGAGATCCTTGCAGTGTCCCTTCTCCAGTCTGGAGCATATGAGTTGACCAAGAAACATTGACACGAAGAAACCAAGGGGGCATAGTTTCAAGACATGCCACACTCAAATCATTTCTTTCACACTATCCGGCAACAAATTAAAAAATAAACACACGACAACAGCAGTCAGAACAGAAAAACCACTCGCTATGCAAACTGTCACCGAACTTTGAACCCTATTGTTCTGCATCACATCAAGTCCTGCAACTGAGCAACATTCACATTCACTCCAGGGTAGTACCTTACAGCATTTCAGCCAGCTTCATGACGAAGTCTGGGCAAACGTGGGGTATGGATGGCTAAAAATCACAAGCAGTTCATTTGATCATGGTTCATCTAACGTCGAAGTCGGACTCTAAGAGCCTTGAAATGCCAGTTGCCTTGAAGCACACCACAAAGACAGCCTTGTTGGATATGGAACATCCTTCCGTCCTTACCTGCTCTAAAACCTTCCTTCCACATGTGGCACTGGAACACTACTGGAACCACAGCGCACGGCCAAGGTACTTGAAGTGCCTCTTGCGCGTGACGTGTGGGTTCTTCGCCAGGTACCGCCGTTGTTTGCAAATCACGCGGCCGATCTCCGTGTACTCACCAGGGAGGGCCTCGTGGCAAGGGTCTGAGTAAAGCCAGCGGACAGAACCAACCCTTCCACTCTCCAAGAACCAAACATGGGGAAAATAACAATATGTTTACAGTAATAGTAGATGATAGTAAACGTAATGTACAAGGAGAAATTAATGAACAGTTGTGGTACAAACTGAATTGCAAGATATCACCGTGCGAGGCTACCTAGAGTTCCCCGATTCAAATAGATGATGCACTGTTAATTGGTGCTGCAACTGATTCTGCCTTGGGATGCTTATTTCTGAACCCACAACTTGGTTTCTGGTGATGTCATGTTCTACTCACATCTTCCTTGGTCAATTCATGGCCCAAATTATCGCTTTCTACTGCCTTCTTAACCCTTCTGACATTGTGAGATCAACTTGCGCCCCCATCTTGAACCAACCATCTTTACACTTTTCGAGACCGTGTGCAGCCAAGCATTTGGTTTTGTCCAAAAATTGCGGGCACACCAAAAATTTTAAAAAATGATATTCAGGCAGGGAGCATGATAGTGGACCTCAATGGATTTCGGGCTACTTGCCTTTGCTGATAACTCTTAATGATTAAGCATCAAAAGCTTTAACCGAAGTTCAAGTTTGCTTTAACCGTTAAAGTTCTGTTCTGATCGTGGTTTTTACGTATTTTTACTGCCGTAAACATCCATCAGCCAACGACTTTGGGCTTTGACCCATCCCAGGGAGATCCAAAAAATGCACCTTGGGCCCAACGTGTGGCTTCTTGGGGATGCGTTGTCCGCAGGGCTTGGCGCGAGGTGGTTTCCAGTAGCCTCAAGGCCCCTGGGATACCCATGGCATCATGGGTGGCCCACGGGAAGTTCTCAAAAACTTGAAGATATTCTGTAATATCCTCTGGTAAACTACCATAGCTATGGAAAATCACCATTTTTAATGGGCACATCAACCATTTCTATGGCCATTTTCAATAGCTATGTTAAATTACCAGAAGGTATACTGTAATACCAGAATATGGGTAGAACTGAATATGAATTTAGCCTATTGACGGCTTTTGTTTGAGCATATTTGCATCATGATTTAGCCCTAGTATTGGCACCTGGTGGAGGTACCTATATACAATCTTATACAAGAAACTATATATTTATGTTTATGTTGATGCTAGCTAGATCAGTTCTCACTTTATCGCCACATGAGGGCCTCCCCCCTCCAGACCAAAAACATATCACCCTCCAGACCAAAAACATATCAGAATTACGTATCAGAACATGAGCATCATGAGGATTATTTCCTGTGATGCAGTGGTCGTGGGTTGCAAATTTCATTACAACAACTGTAAATCCGGGACGGTGGAATTCATGGAGCCAAGATTTTCTCTCTCGAACTATCCAGCTGTATCCGAGCTGTATAGCCATAGCCATGAAGCTTTGCACCTTCACCTGCTTCCATCGCACCGCTCCCAACGGCCACGCCGTTGGCACCGCTACGACGGGTGCCGCTGCGCGAGCTAGAGGCGCCGGCGCGACCGGGCACAGCCCCGGCCGCACGGTGGAGCGGAGGGAGGTGGAACCCCAACGACGCAGCGCGCTGAGCATGGCGAAGGGCTGGGAAAAAATGATTTTGGTGGAAAACCGTGTTTATTAGAGATAGCTAGAGTTTAGAGGTTGAATAGGTTTAGATAAACCGTTGCTTATTTGTTTATGATTGTTTATTGCTTCAATCATCTCAGTCCTCTCATCCCTGTTCTCGGCCGTTTTTGACTGACTCTATCTGCGATTTGGTGGGATTTTTAGGAAGAAAAATGTGAATTTGGGAACTCCCTTCAAGGCTCAACTGGCATTGCCTGCGAACCGCGAACCCAAAGCGGCCAGCGAGCCCGGATGAGATTAGTCTGACAAAGTGCTGGCAACAAGGACAGAAACAAGTTTCACTGAATCCTGATACAAATTGAATTTAGTATAATTTAGTAACAGGATGCTTTGTCCGAACCCCTGACACCAAAATGACATTAAAAGGATTTAAAATGACTATAGGAAATAATTAGATAAAAAGATCGCAGTTTCCAACCATTTCCCAAGATCGAAGATCATTCCTACCTCCAAATATTCTGGTTCCTGGTGACATTTATCCATGGTGAAACCTGGAAGCACCGCTCCCAGCCGCAAGGTCCCTGTTGACAAGTGGCAATTTAGAACCCTTGGGCCGAGAAGCGGCCTGGCTGTGGCAGAGGTTTCATTCTGTAGGAAGCCCGCAAAGTGCCAAAAGGACATGACAAATGCATCTAGTGTAGCGTGCATAGTGACACAGAGAGCAACGGCTGGAAATCACATGAGCAAACTTGCATGTGTATTTGCAAGGTCTAATCTTATGTATTGCAGTAACAGGCTTCGACTGGAAAATGCTACAATAATAAACTTACAAAATAAAAGTAAAGAAAGTAAACCGGCCAAGAAAAAAATGCAAAAAACAAGTGCAATGGAAAGTGATGATTTGGAAAAAGCAAGAAACACAGTAACTTTGGCATGGGAAAAAACAACGCCAATAATATTGTAAAAAGAGAAAAATACGCCAACCCAAAGAAAACAAAACACAATGAAATAAAATACACGAAGAAAAACACACAACCAGAAATACAACAAATAGAATCAGAATAACAACAAAAAATAAACCAAAGGAGAAAAACAAACAAAAGAACATTTCCGGACGGAGCCTGCAAAAAAAAACATAAGTCTAATCATGCCTTCAATTTTTCCCGAGCAGAACCAGAACATGCTTAGTATGATCATCCTGCTGAGCAAGCCCCCCAACTGGGATAATTTTTCTCAACCAGGCTTCTTCACCAGATATATCCCCCTGGAAGATGAACAAGTATGGACTATGAACATCCTGCTCCTTTTTTCCCATTTTTCCCTGAGTTTCCGCACCAGAATCTCTTGGAATTTTGCCCTAGCAGCCGACACATTCCCGTGCTCCGCTGCTGCATTGACGGCCTCTCTGGATGGGATCTCGTGAAGTCCAGGAAAACCATCAGAAAAACGAGAGAAAAACTGCAAAATGTTGATGACACGAGGATCTTCAAGTGAGAATCGAACTGCCAGGCCCCAGCTCCCAGATGTCCCAGCTCTTAGTGCATCTTAGTGCAACACCAAGGTCCCTTGCCCAGAAAGCGCTAGCCTGCAGCCCATCACGACCTCAAGTGTGAGATTTGCATACATAGGGCGGCCATGTCTGACAAGTGCTCAACTTACTCCCAGCCCTTGCACTACCATACTACCATACCCTTGAACATGATTTTTTCCTAGTTTCCATAGGAATGAACCCATTACAACCCGCCAGTGGTAGAAATAAAGGATTCGCTAAACTCTGCAGCAATTCGAAAACATAACCTGCAGTGCAGGGGCAAAGGGGGCCGAAGCGTGGGTTTCCGACGTTGCGCTGTGACGCTCCCGGGGGCGGGTGGCGCTGCGACGCTGCGACGCTGCGACGCTCCGGGGGGCGGGTGGCGCTGCGACGCTGCGACGCTGCGACGCTGCGACGCTGCCGTTGGGCCAGTGACGCCGCGACGCTGTTGGCGCTGCGACGATGCGACGCTGGAGTGACGCTGCGACGCTGTTGGCGCTGCGACGCTGCGACGCTGCGACGCTGCGTCGCGGGGAGCGACGCTGCGACGCTGTTGGCGCTGCGACGCTGCGACGCGGGAGCGACGCTGCGACGCTGTTGGCGCTGCGACGCTTCCTTCTGCAAGAGTGCACACGGCGTTGCGTCGCGGCGCGACACGAAAACCCCCATTGAAGATCGTCAATGATTGTAGAAGTTTATTAAACGGGGCTGAAAGAATTCAACCCTTATTGAAGATCGTCCATGAATGTAGAAGTTTAACGGGGCTGGGGAGAATTAAACCCTCATTGAAGATCTTCGATGAATGTAGAAGTTTAACGGGGCTGGGGAGAATTAAACCCTCGTTCAAGATCGTCAGTGAATGTAGAAGTTTAACGGGGGCGGGGAGAATTAAACCCTCATTGAAGATCGTCCATGAATGTAGAAGTTTAACGGGGCTGGGGAGAATTAAACCCTCATTGAAGATCGTCCATGAATGTAGAAGTTAAACTGGGCTGGGAGAATTAAACCCTCGTTCAAGATCGTCAGTGAATGTAGAAGTTTAACGGGGGTGGGGAGAATTAAACCCTCATTGAAGATCGTCAATGAATGTAGAAGTCTAACGGGGCTGGGGAGAATTAAAACCTCATTGAAGATCGTCCATGAATGTAGAAGTTTAACGGGGGTGGGGAGAATTAAACTCTCATTGAAGATCGTCAATGAATGTAGAAGTTTAACGGGGCTCGGGAGAATTAAACCCTCATTGAAGATCGTCCATGAATGTAGAAGTTTAACGGGGCTGGGAGAATTAAACCCTCATTGAAGATCGTCAATGAATTTAGAAGTTTAACGGGGCTGGCAGAATTAAACCTTCATTGAAGATCTTCAATGAATGTAGAAGTTTAACGGGGCTGGGAAGAATTAAACCCTCATTTAAGATCGGCCATGAATGTAGAAGTTTAACGGGGCTGGGAGAATTAAACCCTCATTTAAGATCGTCCATGAATGTAGAAGTTTAACGGGGCTGAGGAGAATAAAATCCTTATTGAAGATCGTCCATGAATGTAGAAGTTTAACGGGGGTGGGGAGAATTAAACCCTCATTGAAGATCGTCCATGAATGTAGAAGTTTAACTGGGCTGGGGAGAATTAAACCCTCATTGAAGATCGTCCATGAATGCAGAAGTTAAACGGGGCTGGGAGAATTAAACCCTCGTTGAAGATCGTCAGTGAATGTAGAAGTTTAACGGGGGTGGGGAGAATTAAAACCTCATTGAAGATCGTCAATGAATGTAGAAGTTTAACGGGGCTGGGGAGAATTAAACCCTCATTGAAGATCGTCCATGAATGTAGAAGTTTAACGGGGGTGGGGAGAATTAAACTCTCATTGAAGATCGTCAGAATGTAGAAGTGGGGCTAGAAGAAGATTTAACGGGGCTCGGGAGAATTAAACCCTCATTGAAGATCGTCCATGAATGTAGAAGTTAACGGGGCTGGGAGAATTAAACCCTCATTGAAGATCGTCAATGAATGTAGAAGTTTAACGGGGCTGGGGAGAATTAAACCCTCATTGAAGATCATTGAAGCTCGTCCATGAATGTAGAAGTTTAACGGGGCTGGGAGAATTAAACCCTCATTGAAGATCTTCAATGAATGTAGAAGTCTAACGGGGCTGGGGAGAATTAAAACCTCATTGAAGATCTTCAATGAATGTAGAAGTCTAACGGGGCTGGGGAGAATTAAAACCTCATTGAAGATCGTCCATGAATGTAGAAGTTTAACGGGGCTGGGAGAATTAAACCCTCATTGAAGATCGTCAATGAAGGTAGAAGTTTAACGAGGCTGGGAGAATTAAACCCTCATTGAAGATCGTCAATGAATGTAGAAGTTTAACGGGGCTGGGAGAATTAAAACCCTCATTGAAGATCTTCGATGAATGTAGAAGTTTGAAGGGGCTGGGAGAATTCAACCCTCATTGAAGATCTTCAATGAATGTAGAAGTTTAACGGGGCGAGGTAGTGTTCAGAGGGGGTCGCTGGCTTGATCTTCGAAGATGCAACATATATTCAAAGGGGTGGCGGGGCTGATGTCTCAAGGTGCAACGTATTGTTCAGAGGGGGTTGGGGAGTTGATGTCTTGTGATGGTGAAGATGCAACATAGTGTTCAGAGGGGGTTCCAGGGCTACTGTCTCAGCTTGTCCGGTGGCTTCTCGGCTTCTCGGCTTCTCGGCTTGGCTCCGGTGGCTTCTCGGCTTCTCGGCTTGCCCGGCGGCTTCTCGGCTTCCCGGCGGCTTCTCGGCTTCTCGGCTTCTCGGCTTGCCCGGCGGCTCCTCGGCTTCGCGGCTTCTCGGCTTCTCGGCTTCTCGGCTTGTCCGGTGGCTTCTCGGCTTCTCGGCTTCTTGGCTTCTCGGCTTGTGCCGGGCTTCTCGGCTTCTCGGCTTCTCGGCTTCTCGGCTTCTCGGCTTCTCGGCTTGTGTCGTACTTCGCGGCTTCTCGGCTTCTCGGCTTCTCGGCTTGTGTCGGGCTTCTCGGCTTCTCGGCTTCTCGGCTTCTGGTCGCATTTCTGGGCCCCTTTTGCCAGTGCTTTGTATTTACCCTTGAACATGATTTTTTCCTAGTTTCCATAGCCAGTGGTAGAAATAAAGGATTCGCTAAACTCTGCAGCAATTCGAAAACATAACCTGATCCACATCTGGTCCCGGCAACAATGTCCTGTCACCATTGTCCGTCTCCCAGGCACCTCTGTTCCCATTGCAAAAGAACCTTTCCAGTGCACAGTGAACATCAGTGAACCCAAATGGATGATGTGATGTCTTGCGCTGCACAGCACAACACCGTGGTTCCTGGCCACTAGTTCCCCGCCACGCCTGATGTGGCTGCTACGTAGCCGCACTCGAAGGCCTGAGCACTGGCTGCCAAAAGATGGCAACATGACATTGTGACTGTCACTGGTATGCTTATCCGACTGATAGCAACATGTAAGATATGTAAAACACATGAATCACATGAAACATCCAAGCTTTACCCCCAACAAATCCAGCCACCATCAAAGACCAACGGTCTCGTGCCTCCATACATACGCCACCCACGCATGAGGCGAAGGGGCAGCGGTGTCAGGGAATCCAGCCATGGCAGTGATGAAACAGGATGAGGGTCTTGGGATTGGGCTCAATTGGTTGCCAAACCTATGAACTCAGTTGAACTCAATCTAATGTGGCAATGTGGTAATAAAACATAATAAAACTAGCTTTTTGTATGACATGATGCTACATGATACTACTGAACTTTCCAACTGGGATTGGCGAAAGCTTCTGCAGCACCTTCTGGAACCAACTTTGCTTCAATGTATTGCGCAAGCAACGGCAGCAGCATGAATCTGAACAAAGGATTGGGTGACTGCGGGGCCCAATCAATCTTTGCCGTGACCAACCATGAAGCATTTGGATCGGCATGTCCAAATCAGGCATCAGTTGTACAGCGAACGTTTCACTGCGAGTTGTACTGAAAACTATCGGACCACTGAGGGGATCATCCAAGCAGGGAATACCATGGAATAACATGAAGCACACTGTGGATAGAAGAAATCCTGCACCAGGTAGTGGACGGTCACATTATTTACAGTGTTTCATAGCTACCAGTTTCCAACTGATGCAGGATCTCCATCCATAGTCTGCACCCTCCCCAGATCCAACCTGCCAGGAAGGTGCTGGGTACACAGGTCCATCACGATCCTGCGACAGAAAGCCGAGGGGGACCTGTCTGAAAGGCGATGGCGATGATAAGGATCATTACGTTTATGATTCCCTCTGCCATTCAGACCTAGCTATGGAAAACCACCCATTTCTATCCATTTCTGGTATAGATTTACCTATACTAAACATTGTGATTTTCCATAGCCATGTAAGGTCTGGCAAAATCTGCCGATTGAGATGGCTATGGAATTGACGTGGGACTGGTTTTGAAGGTCCTGATAATCTGGTTTGCTATTACTGGATTTTTTCCGGTTGTTGATACACTGGGTCACTTGAAGGAACATCCAGTGACCGTGGATTTACCATCCAACTATATCCAAGAATCCTGCAGAAAATCCTTACACCACTTGAGTGTCTTTTAAAATATGCGCACGCCAAAATCCAATGGCGGTTGATTCGAGATTACCCTCTGGTAATTTAACATAGCTATTGAAAATGGCCATTTATAGTGGAATTTCCCATTAAAGATAATCCCTTCCTCCTAATACTAAACGTCCCCCTAATACTAAAAACAGGCATCCATCTCCAATTTCCGAAAATTTCAGTTTGGCCAATTTGACTTTTAATTGATCCCCTTTAAAAAACAATTCAAAAATCAACCTACCATTTGTGGGTTCTCCCCCCTAATACTAAAAACTAATTCATCCCGGGGTGTTTAGTATTAGGGGGGCTAGTATTAAGGGTTTTAATTTAGTATTAGGGGTAAGCTTCGAACTGCCATTTTTGGCAATATTTTAATTGCGTTATATAAGGAAATTTAATTGATTTTGAGATCGGAAAAAATAGTTTTTAGTATTAAGGGTTTTAATTTAGTATTAGGGGTAAGCTTCGAACTGCCATTTTTGGCAATATTTTAATTGCGTTATATAAGGAAATTTAATTGATTTTGAGATCGGAAAAAATAGTTTTTAGTATTAAGGGTTTTAATTTAGTATTAGGGGTAAGCTTCGAACTGCCATTTTTGGCAATATTTTAATTGCGTTATATAAAGAAATTTAATTGATTTTGAGATCGGAAAAAATAGTTTTTAGTATTAAGGGTTTTAATTTAGTATTAGGGGTAAGCTTCGAACTGCCATTTTTGGCAATATTTTAATTGCGTTATATAAAGAAATTTAATTGATTTTGAGATCGGAAAAAATAGTTTTTAGTATTAAGGGTTTTAATTTAGTATTAGGGGTAAGCTTCGAACTGCCATTTTTGGCAATATTTTAATTGCGTTATATAAGGAAATTTAATTAATTAATTAACATGACTTCGATTTGGTTCCCTAATAATAAATACCCCCCTAATACTAAAAACTACCTGCCGTGTTTTGTATTGGGGGGGGGTTTAGTATTAGGAGGAAGGGATTAGTGATTTTCCATAGTTATGTTAGTTTACAAGAGGGTATTGTCCCACATTACAAAAGGTCATTTTGGGACCCTCCCAATTCACAAACCACATCCGCCCACCTTCGCCTGGTACGTGTCCGGACCAACAGTCACCACACGCGGAAAACCGGCGCTGACCGCTGGCAGGAGCTGAACCTCAGTGCCATGGGGGTACCCCGATAGCTGGATGGTTTATTTCATTTCAAATCCCAAACAAAAATGGATGGGTTGTACCCCCATTTTAGGAAACGTCCATATGGATTTCGACATCTCTAGACTATCTGGGGTAGATGTTAGATATTGCTTGATCAGTTTGTATGATTTTTTGGAACAAACAGGCAAACCAGTGTGAGACCATTGGCTACTTCTTCCCGCTGGAAATGACACATGGCTTGTGGCAAAATCCACTATAAATAACTATAAATGGAGCTTTAAATGGGAACAGATCAATTTAAATGTTCCATGCTATAGGTGGTTTATGGTGGTGATTTCACCACTCTTTCTGTCCATAAAAACGGGACATCTCCGGCAAGGTGCCGTTGCACATGTCAATGGAGTGGTGGATGACATATCGAGGCGGCCCAGCACCGTGTTCACCTGGAACCATGGTTGATGGGATAACATGGGGGGTTTGTGGGGGGAATTACTCTCTAAATGAGGGATATGCGATATGTATATATATATAATATATATTATAATATAATATATAATATAATATTATGATCTAATATAATATAATATATAATAACATAACTTAAAAAAACATAAAAATAATATAATATATATATATAATAGATATTATATATACAATATTCTAGAAAAAACTAGAATGGGAATATCATGGGATATCATATCATGTAGTGGGATATGATGACCAACAAACTTGGGATATACGAACCGGGTATCACTAGAAAAAAACATGTTAATTTTTACATATTTTTACTATATAGTTAGTTTGATTTTCAAAATGGGCTATGACAATCCCAGCATACGCAACGCGGGCAATATGTTGGGTAGTACAACTTTGACCACCCCTACAAGTTGTAGAGGAGTTGAAGAGTAAAGGACCGCCCCTACAAGTTGGAAGGCGTATGGCCAGCATCATTTTCAAGACAATTGAGCGTGTTGAGCTTCCGGTTCAATTGGAGCTTGTAAATTAATAGTGGCAAAGCTATTGCCAACACCATGGATCAGGTCGGTTTGCAAACAATTCAAAAGCAACTTTGTGAAATTGTAGCACTACTTTCATGGACATGTGCTGATCTTATTCAACCCCTCCAATCATTTCGCAGTTGTTCACGGGCGGCTTCCTGGCTAACTTTGAACCAGCACCTTGCTACAGGCACCGCATATATTCGGAGAGGCCATGTCTAATAGCGATATTTGTAGAATTATAACCGCCACCCAACCAACAATTGGACTCTGAAAACTGCCCATCCCCTAAGGAAGAAACATGTTTTCCAACCTTCGGTTTGGCGGGGTCTATGTTGGGGGGGAGGGTCATGACATGTTATGAAGTCCTACGGTGGAATCCCAATGAATCCCACAACGGAGACAAGGCAGGGCTCATCAGGGGTCGCTTCTTGCTCCGAAACATGTGTCATGCCAAGCATCTGTTGGATAGGAAGCCATCGCAGAACCACCTTCGGATGTGGCCGGGAGAAAGCGAAACAACACATGATTTTGCCGTTCCAAACGTAAGCTTTCGGCCAATGTCAGATTAGCGAAGGAAGAACAAATCCAACAGCTTGGAATACCACTTTTCAGCAGTCTGGTGCGAAATCCTACGGATAACGATAATGACATACAAATGTGATGGCATAAAAAAGGGTAACCATTCCCGTGTACCCCCTATTCTTTATTCGCCAAATCAGTCCATTTCAGCATGGAAACCATAGTTTCAACACCGCTGTCAACCACAATGGGGTCATGGCTGAGTCAAGTACACAGAAAAGTTTGGATAATTGCACTGGTCCATTTGCCCAGACAGCCCTCACGTGCCTTAGATCGTTTCTTAGGGGCCCAGTAGTTGATCTACCCATATCATCTCCCAGTTTTGCACATATACAGTAACCTGTTGTAATTTTGCATAGCTATGGTCGATTATTTATTTAAAAAAGTTCTATTTTCCAGCCAGCTATGTCAAGGGCATCATTTTTTAACATCATGGCCAATACACGTTTAGCTGACAAGTAAATATCCGGATTTATTTGGTTCATAAACCCCGGAACAAAGAGATATATCTACCATACTCTAGTTGAGTCCTAGCGGCCCTAGCGAATTTTCAACCAAATTAGCCAACTAGGTTTCACCATTAGCCACATATAGAAAATCTTATATAATTACACATCTCCTTTAAATGTCTACCAACTTCCCATGTTTGGTGCCCCAAAAAAATCTCCGCTGTTTCGCATCCCTTACCACGGCCTTCCAATGCCAACACCATGAGCTCGGCGGCCGCATAGGCTTCAGCTGCCGCAAGCGGTGGTGAAGCCTTGCCCCGGCCATGGGGATATACTAACCACCAGGAAGACATGTTTATATATTTGCTATAGTGTAGTGATTTTACAGGGTTATAAATCATGATGTGATGTAATATTATAAATAAATAAATATATATATATATATATAAATACTATAATGACATATAATGACTATTTTGGTGGATTTTTACTTTTGTATCTTTTTGGGATTGCTATATTGTTTATACATCTGGTGTTGAGAGATATAAGTTCAGATATGCAATGTTATGCAGCTATGCACGTGTATTTTGTCAACCTATTTTTCCCTCAGACAAGCAAACCAAAATCTTGGTTTAATGTCGGGTCCCTTATTGAGGGTATTTGATTTTGAGGAGATGGAATTATCCGGGGGAGTGGGACATATCACTTAGATATTTTGAAGGTGGAAAAACTATGTGAGCATACTTGGAATATAAAACTGCAACTGTCTCAGAGCACATGGGAAGTAACAGGGTTATATACTGCACATGATTTCAAATGTATCTGATCAACACATATCAACACTGGATTAGTTGCAATAAACCCCCCAGCTGATGATTTGGCAAATGATTGATTGCAACATATTGTAACATAACATGTTCCAACCCGATAAGCCCCCACAAAAAAGGGTAGGTCGGGGATATGTTCCGCAAGGGCCAACCATGTACCATGATTATGATGTCACCTTATCTAACATGGCCTTAAAAGGCTTCAAAAATCCATCTTACTGGGGCCGTATTTTTGGTAACTCAATGGCAAAATTGGGTCAACTCTTGGTGCAACTGGATTCAGTTCGTGGACCTGCAGACTGGCTCAGCGAGGTTTCGGTAATTACTCGAGATTCAGCTCGAAATAGCTCTCCAATCTGATTCAGTGACATCAATCTACATAAAATATTATGCTTCAAATATATCATCACACGCCATGCTCCCAGCAGTCCCATTGTGTCTACACCAAGAAGCATAGAATTGTCGTTGATAGTCTTGGATAAACTGAGCTTTGCTGTAACTTGGCCTGGGGCTTGCCGGAACGAAAGGAGGAGAGACTGGGTGCTGCAGCCACCACTGGTGACTACGAACCGAGTTCAATGCCATTAAATCAATCAATCTATATATTATATATTAATGTATATATAATATATATACATAGTTTCCCTAAGGCTTAATCATCACTTATAAAAATCAAAAGGGCTTGGTTGTTTGAGGTCCCTCTAGATCAGCATAGATCATCAGCGGCACAAAAATTCAGCGGCCTAAAGGTCAGGGGGCCACCCTCCAGCCAGCAATCAGCTCCAATGGACCAGGTCCTTTGATTGCGGCCGCTGCCAGCTGCCAAAGCCCCATTTTTTTATTTTGGACTGGTTCTGTAGGTTGAAAATTGTCAAAAAACATCATGAAGCCAAATATCTCGTTAGGACCCAACAGAAACATCATTTCTATCCAGAGTTTTTCAGCCATCTTGCCATTTTATTTCATCTCCCCATGTTTGATGCCTTCATCTCGCTGAAAAAATCGAGTATTGACCCTGGCTGCAGTAAATTTCTCCGAGATTCAGCTCTGGAAGATCAGATCTGGCCACATCCAGCGTTGGCAGCAACAAGGCCTTGGGGAAAAAGCCTCCTGGAGCAAAAATCCAGCGAAGATGGGCATCCAAATCTGAATCCAGAAGACCCTGAACCAGCAGAAAAACTGGAGGATGTTGAGATATTTTGATCATATTCATACATAGATATAAATAGTATATGGTGATTATATTAATCTATATGTATATATATATTATACTGCTGTGCACTGTTCAATACTGTGCAACACCAATGCCGATCCATTTGTATACTTAGCAATCTTAGCACCGGTCTCCTCCACCCATGGTCTTCATCACTGTCAGTAGCCTGATGGCAGCATCTCTCCGGTCCCCAGTCGTGCTAGTCTGCCACAAGCGCAGCTACACTGACAGCAATTTTTGGAGCTAAATTTAGATATTATAATTTAGGCTCAAAGCGTCCAAACAATGTCCCAGTCATAGGAAGTTACGAGTCCAGTTTTTCCCACCACTTTGCTTCAGAATGCCTGGCCTCTGAACTGCCAGGTCATCCAAACAAACCAGGAGAAGATCTGGCTGAGCGGAGCCCAAGTTATCAGCAAGACCTGGCAGAACGCGCTCACGGGTCTCCGCCGCAGTTTTGCTTTATGCTTTATGGCTTCATTATTGGTTTAATAGTGTTGAACAAGATACCGATGGATATGATTATCTGTGATTATGTGCCCCCTTTTGGGCTGCATGATCTTGGCATCTTCCTCTTTCACTAGCTCCAAAACTCCCAAAACTAGCTGCCCATCTGCCTTGCCAGTTGGGATCACTGCTGTCGAGGCTGGAGTTCAGTATCACCTCAGGATAGAAGGCCTTATGGATGCCCTGCTAGCTGCTTCCATGGCCATGCATCAAAACTGATGGAGAGCCAGTCGCTACAAAAAGATAAAGATCATAGAAGATCCATGTGTATTCCGTGCGAACGCATGAAGCGCCTTCAATTGCACCTTGCTCCAGAAACCGCAAATCACGAAAGATGAGGAAGGTGCATTCCAGGCCCATGATGGCATGATGTGAGGCGAAATTGTAGTGAATTTGTAATGGGGGATGAGGGAATTGTGTCTGACAAGTTGCTGAGATGCCCAAATCCTCCAAGAATTGTGGCGCCACTTGGCAGTGCCTAGCGGGACATGGAACCCAAGAACCCAAAACCTTGAGCTCCTCCATCTCCAGCTGTCCAGCCGAGCGTAAATATGTTCATATGATTTCATATTATGTTCACTTGAAATTCTTCAACATTCTGCCCGTTGGTCGCTGACTCTACTCGTTTCGCGCCACGGCTGCACTGTAGGTCCGTGAAGGGCCTGGCTGGCTCCGATGGAACCAATGGAAGAAGCCGCGGGGCACCGGAAAAGTGTTGTCTAAGGCCTCTAAGGCTAAGGGCCGCATGCTTGAGACACGGCCACTAAACTTGCTTGCTTCTCCCTGACAAAACACAATGAAGAGATCGTCAAAGGAAGCCAAAACATGAAATTGCCAAGCAAATGCGGCAACTGGCTCGAATTCAGTCCTGTTGGCACAGGAGCACAGGATAAGTTACAGGAACACGAAACGATGCTACTGCAGTGTGATTTCACACACTGCAGGCACTCCTTGCATGAGAAGCTCCACTTCCCTTAGTCAAACTGGTAGGTCATCTGCGCGCCTACCTATTGACATGTCCTCACATTGTTGTTGAAGGCTCAGATTCTTCCGAGTTCATGTTGGCATAAACCCTGGACGGGGAAAGAGATTGAGGTCCCAAAGCATAGGCCTTTGGTGGAGAGTGGTGATGGGAATCAATGCCCACTTCTTCCAAATGAGTGCCATAGCGCAGCAACCCAGTGACCTTCAACAGGAAGAAACCAACACCGGACAGGGTGCCGGCCCATGCCACAATGGACAGGACCATGATGATTTGGACCCCAATGGCAGTGCCACCAATGCCGGTCTGGCAGCCACCATCATCCTTCTCCATGCACCCGAATCCACTCCAGCCATGGTACTGGTCAATGCCACGACCCCAGTCGAAGAGGCCTGCTGCAATGAGTCCCCAGGCTCCACAAAAGCCGTGGACCGGACTGGCATCCACCGGGTCATCAATGTGGAGCTTTTGGAGCAGCATGGATGCTGCCTGGTACACAAAGCCTCCAGGTTTCTCCATGAAAATTGGATAAACCCAAGAATGATGAGAAATGATGAAACATGACGAGACATGATGAAATATTCAAGTTTGAGCGAGGAAAATGATGATCAACCAGCGCATTTAAGGGCACTGGTTGTTTGATGTTGTTTGAATAAGCCCACCTCCAATCAAGCCGGTGGCAAAGGCACTTCCGCTCTCCATGTTTCCGCAGCCCGCGGTGATCGACACCAACCCCGCCAGGATGCCGTTGCACAGGGCGCCCACATCGTACTTGTGCGTGATGACATAGCGCAGCAAAAACACGGTGATGCCCCCAGTGGCTGCAGCTAAGGTGGTGTTCATGGCCACCTGTGCAGCCAGAGCACCATCGCTGCCGGACTTCATGGTCAAGGTGGAGCCCGGGTTAAAGCCATACCAGCCGAACCAAAGAGCAAAGGTGCCCAACACAACCTTGAATTTGCTTAAGATGGGTACAACAAAGAAAAACGTACACTAACATATTCCCAGTAGTAGATTTATGCAGTCCCGTGTAGATCTCCCATTTCGAGTGGATTCACCCATTTTTTTGGTCAAACATCAGCAGGAAATCCAAGGAACCAATGGCAGGTTGTGACATTCAAACTCCTCTGGGTTGGTGAAGCGTCCAGTGCGGGCTCCCAAGATGGTGGTGCCAACCAGTCCACTGATGCCACCGGTAAGATGCACAACACCTGAACCCGCGAAGTCCTGATTGCTGCACTCAATCCATCCCAAACAAATTAGAAAAATATTAGAAAAAGTACATATATAATCTATCTATATATCTATCTATCCATCTATCTATCTATCCATCTATCTATCCATCTATCTATCTATCTATCTATTATCTATCTATCCATCTATCCACCCATCCATCCATCCATCGATCCATCCATCCTCATCCATCCTCATCCATCCTCATCCATCCTCATCCATCCTCATCATCCTCATCCATCGATCCATGCATCCTCATCCATCCTCATCCATCCTCATCCATCCTCATCCATCCTCATCCATCCTCATCCATCCTCATCCATCCTCATCCATCATCATCCATCATCATCCATCATCATCCATCATCCATCCTCATCCATCCTCATCCATCCTCATCCATCATCATCCATCCTCATCCATCCTCATCCATCCTCATCCATCCTCATCCATCCTCATCCATCCTCATCCATCCTCATCCATCCTCATCCATCCTCATCCATCCTCATCCATCCTCATCCATCCTCATCCATCCTCATCCATCCTCATCCATCCTCATCCATCCCATCATCCATCATCCATCCTCATCCATCCTCATCCATCCTCATCCATCATCATCCATCCTCATCCATCCTCATCCATCCTCATCCATCCTCATCCATCCTCATCCATCCTCATCCATCCTCATCCATCCTCATCCATCCTCATCCATCCTCATCCATCCTCATCCATCCTCATCCATCCTCATCCATTCATCCATTCATCCATCCTCATCCATCCTCATCCATCCTCATCCATCCTCATCCATCATCATCCATCATCATCCATCATCATCCATCATCATCCATCCTCATCCATCCTCATCCATCCTCATCCATCCTCATCCATCCTCATCCATCCTCATCCATCCTCATCCATCCTCATCCATCCTCATCCATCCTCATCCATCCTCATCCATCCTCATCCATCATCATCCATCCTCATCCATCCTCATCCATCCTCATCCATCCTCATCCATCCTCATCCATCCTCATCCATCCTCATCCATCCTCATCCATCCTCATCCATCCTCATCCATCCTCATCCATCCTCATCCATCCTCATCCATCCTCATCCATCCTCATCCATCCTCATCCATTCTCATCCATCCTCATCCATCCTCATCCATCCTCATCCATCCTCATCCATCCTCATCCATCCTCATCCATCCTCATCCATCCTCATCCATCCATCCATTCATCCATCCATCCATACTGAACATAGAATAAAACATATAAAAAAAGTACATAAATACAATAAATTATAATAATCTATCTATACTTTAATAATATGTATATATATATATGTGATTATATATTCATAATATGTATGTATGCATGCATGTATGCACCGATATATTACACAAATCAGGCACTAATAAATATTTGACACACCAAGGATCTAGAATGGGGTTCACTAGCGCAAAGGTGGGAAACCTATTCAAAAAAAAATATAAAAAATAAAGTTAAATTGGACTCATAAAATATGTCTCTTTGTATAATACTACTTGGAGCTATCAGCCCAAGAGTCCATGTAGCCTACGCCGTAAAGTGAGGCCAACCAGCCACCACCCCAGGTGGATGCCACAACCATGGGATAGATGAAGCTTGTCATCAAGAACGCAAAGGCAGCATAGGTGGGGCTCTTGACACGCTCGGCTACTGCCCCGCTCACGATGGTGGCACCGGCAGTACAAAACGCCCATTGGAAGAACCAGCTTAACATAGTCGATTGACAGCCATCAGCAGTGCATTCAACAGGTGTGATCACTCCACTGGCCTTGTCGCGCGTGTAGAAGCCGAAGCCAAAGAAGCCGTCGGTTCCAATGAAACCATTGCCATGTTGTTCGCCATAGGCCAGTGCCCAGCCGATGCTCCACCAGCCCAAGGTTCCAGCGCAAACATTCACCAAATTCTTCATGAGAACGTTGGATGCGTTCTTGGCGCGGCAGCTTCCCGTCTCCAACATGGCGAAGCCTGCGTGCATGAACATCACCAGAGCACCACAGAGGCACAGCCAGGCTGAGTCAAGGGCTCCACCCAGTCCCAAATCAGCTTTCTGCAACTTGGTGATCTTGTCATCGATACTTTCCTGATCCCACAAAACATCAAAAACGATGGCTGTGAACTGAGGCCCAAGCCATTGCAAATCGCATGGAAACATTTAAAAAAAACGGCCAACCTTGCGATCATTATCCAGTCTTCTAAGAATTAATATGGATTAACAACCCTAAAATTATCAATCTTCAGGATTCAACCGTGATGATCTGCAAATCACTCGTGCAGCTGGTGAAACCATGAAAACTTGAGATTTCACAAACAAACATGCTGGTATAGTATAGTTTATCAATGTCATGTTCTATGTTCAATCATCACCTAACCATCACCTAAGACCATTTATAAATCTGAAGCCTACAGAATGACCATGAATGACCTAAATCGTCATCTCTGGTCCCCCCACCTTTTTAGGTTTTTTAGGACATTTAAGCACATTTTCGCACCAAGTTTCACTCTCCTCCGCCTGCAAACGTCGTGTCTCTTGCAGCTCCTGGATCACCTGTCGCTGCTGCGACAGCTCCGCCTGCAGCTGCTGCAGCTGCAGCAGCAGCGGCTGCGCTTGCGGCGTGGCGGCCGCTTGGGCGAAGAAGGCCAGGCAAAGGGAGACCCGCATGGTGGGAGAGCGATGCGATGGGGATGCCAAGCTTGGGTGCCAGTAGCTGAAGCATGAAGCTATGGAGTTAAAATGAGTTGAAGGTCAGAAAATGTCAGAAACATCTGGAGTTGTTTAAACTACGTTTGAACATTCCAAACTTCGTTGATGCTGGTTCTTCCGCTACATCGTACCGGATGCACGTTTCTCCCACCTCGCAAGGCTGGTGCTGCTCACCAGTGCCAAGCTGAGCCCAGCAAGACCAATGCTGCGCAGCAACATCTCCTGAATATTGCTATAATTGGCTGTCATGAACCAAGGGGATCTGGGATGATCTGGCTAAGCGACATATCTCAATGCTTCCAAATGCCATCCATAGCCCACAAAATCTGAAAGTCAAGTGGGAGGATTAAATTTGAGGCACAATGGAGAGGACATGAAAAGACAACATACAGAATTTGGGGTTGGGCATTCTGTCATGACCACAGCAGCACGAATGCGGAACGATGGAACGGCTCCGTTATGTGTTGCGGCAAGTTCGAGTGGAGGTTGACAACCTCCGTGCCGGTGCCGGAGGTGGAAGTTCCCGTTAATCGAAAGTGGCTGGTGATTGCAGCCCTCCCAAAACTATGCGTGACTATGCATCAATTGGGATCACATCCAAGTAGGAATTGAAACGAAGCATGCTTGAAACTGGCTTGGCCAGCTGACATGTCACACGAGGGTTAAGGAGTGGCCACAAGATGCCACAAGTCAACGTCACAGGTGAGGGATGAAACACAATTTGATGCAATTTGATGCAATGTCCTGACAGATCTGATCTATAGATCTAATAGATTTACTAAATCTAATAGATCTAATAGATCTATATAAATAGATCTAACAAATCTAATAGATCTAGCAACAACCACAAAAACATACAAAAACTTAGAACGGGAAACATCAACCCTTCCATTTGGAAGGTTTTGCCACTGCCGAGTCACCTTGGGCCAAGTGTTGCTACCTTCCAGTCCAGCAACTATGACCTGCCACTCGTGAGTCTCTCACCCTGCGTCCTACCTATGATCCAACTATTTGAAGCTACGTATGTAGCCAATCCAGTTGGTAGCTTCAACCCATCCAAATAGTTCATTGTCAATTGGGTAGAGCCACCCCACAATATTCAGAACTACCTCCATGTGGAAGACACAGGGGCCCGACAATCAACAACATGAAGCTCTGACAAATTACTCTCTCTCTCTCTCTCTCCCCCTCTCTCTCCCTCCCTCCATCGCCATCCTGACAACTTACTGTCCCCAGGTAATTTAATATAATCCAAACCATGCAGATTCAACAATCAGTGGCTCCAGTGGCTCCAGCAATGCCAAAAAAGAGGTCACTTCAATCATCTGCCTTCGGTCGATGCAAATCTGCCTCAGCATCTCGTGAACGCAAGCACAGCAATTTGGCCAGGCAAAATCTGTCCAATTCGTCCCATTTTTTTTTGGGGGGTGTATATATGCATATATGTATGTGTATATATATATATGCACTATGTGAATAGAAATAGATCTACGATTATATTTGGACAAGAACGTATATTGTGTCAATGACAAACATATCATACGCACAACTTAATACATTATTAGATATTATATAAGTATAGCTGGTTCTCACACGTTTTGAGGTCTGACAACCTAGCTACCATACCAAATCATACCAAATCGCTATCACGCCCAGGCGCCAAGTGCTGGAGGAGCTGGTCATCTTCAGACTTTCCTGGATGTCAAGGTTGGTCGCTGATCCATGCTGACTGATCCATGCTGACTGATCCATGCTGAGTAATGCGGTCAGATTATTGGGAATTGAAAGCCAGCACCAACAAATAGAAATATAGTTCAAAGATGTTCAAAGTAAACCATCATCAACTTGGTAGGGGTTCAAAGTACATCGCTCTCTTTCTGGGGCCTAAGTATAGGGGTCACATTATTGAGCAAACATCAAATTGTTCCTTGGGCTTACACAATTGGGTCTCATGATTCCAAGTAAATTGTCACTTGATGACAAATATAACAAAACAACTCCCCACCTCATTAGATTCACCATTCTTGGTGGACGAACTAGTTGGATCTCCTAGTGGAAACGAAGCCATTTTTTACGAATTAGCGAGTTACAAATCCAGGTGATGAATTGGGGAAATCATCGCAAGTAGGGATGGAAGAAATCCTCCCAGCGAGGGAAATATGTCTGATGTCCCACTGGAAGGGTTTATAACCCCACCCAATTGTAGAGATCGCAATATATCTACAAAAATCCATTAGCCTATCCCATAGGATCCATGTATGTTATATATGCTAACATTTGGGGTATATTGATGGTAAATGTTACCATATATAATTACCATACATGGATCCTATGGGTATTGTAAGCCAGCACAAAGCAACTAAACGCAGGATGCCCGGGCCATGAAATCCATCCTGAGTTGAAGCCGACTAACTGCAGCTGTGCTTCCCCATGGCCCCAGCATAGCATCCACGTGGTCGTTCTGCAGTGCGTGCCGCAGATGGGCCTCCAACGACCAGGGCCACCGTGGCCCCCAAATGAGGGACCAAGGGACCAAGGGACCATAACCTCTGGTCATTTCTCACTTGACTTAGTGTACTGAGTGTACTGAAACTGGGTGACCACTTTTTTAAAGCCACCTCGGGGGTGTAAATATTTGAGCTCTGGCCAGATTCATGGGATTGGAGCCTCGCGTTCTGTCAGGCGCAGGCAAAACATGGCACAACCCGGCGGGGCCTCATCTGAGGGGTACGGGATGATTTCCAGCAAATACTTTGTGCCTTGGCTGGGCCATGCTGCTTGTACCGCAACCCCAAAGGGACAAAGATCTGCAGGTAGGAAATATGGCAGGAAAGGCAACAAAAATGCCCCTTGGGGAAAGCATCATGCAAAGAATAACAAACAATCACGGTCCGGTTCTGCCTTGTCAATTTTTCTTACATGACTTCGCGAGCTGGAGTGGCATGGAGTGGCAAAGGTCACAAGAGCAACCATCAGCTCATACTGTAGGTAGCACTCTGGATGAAACCCCTGCTGCCTTTGTGATAACCCCTATATAAAGAGAGGCGGCCAATGGAGTCTGATACCACCAGAGTTGAACCATCCACTACCATCCCATATCACCAGGTGATACTAGCATATAGATTCGATGTAACAGCATGATATAACTTAACTAGATCCACTTCCTCTCCACAGAGGCACTGCCAATTCCACTCCGCAGTTGTTGGGCCTTGATCCGCTCCCCGGAACAGAAATGACAACGTCATGCCATGATTGTCTGATGATGGTGACCTGGTTGGTAGATGTTCGTAGGCCCCCATCTTCCTGACTTTCTGAGTTACAAAGAGGGGTTTCCAATGTCCAGCCACCTCCAGTATAAATGGGAAGTCATCATTGAACTGAGAACTTGCTGTCACGAACTTGCACCACCAACAGCAGCAACAATGGCGGCACAAGCAAGAGTCACTACCGACAATGTCAACAACACGGCCTTAAATTTGGTGCGCAGCAATGATTCAAGGGGGTCTCACAGTCATGAATTGTCTGAACATGATCTTGATCATTTGCCGACTTAATGATCGAGGAATATCAATGATGCATCATGATATCACACAAAAAAATGACCATCACCTCTGTGGCGACAGTAAATGGACTCACCGTCCACTGGGGCGCAGGACAAAGAGTTGCAAGGCATTTAAGCGCACGTCGTTGATGCCGCCTCGTTTGATGCAGGGTGGCTAAGATGGCATCACTTGATGGGCAGAAACATAGACATGCAGGGACCACCACCTCAGTACAGTTTGTGGGAAACAATTCACGAGAAATTCCTGATTGGAAAGCCACTTTAGGAACTAATCAGGTTAACATCTTCATGCAAAGCTAACAAGATAAGGGCACTACATTCACGACAAAAAATGTGAACAAAAACAGCACAGTGTAGGAAATGAACTGCGAATGAGTTTGGCTCACCCTTCTCCATCTCGTCTCAACAGCTACCGCGATGGCGAATTCAACAACCAATTTGGTCTGCCAGAATGCTTTTGCAGGTCTCTTCCCATTTCCACATGGTTGTCGTTCTCCGAAGTTTTATAGCAGCTTTTCAGCGGTTTTAAACTCAGTCCTCTAAAGGAAACAGCCACATGAAATCAAATGAAATACTTAATCAAAATTAATCAAACATGTCAATGGACAATTCCCCATACCAGTACTTTGGGGGTTGTTTAGTTTGTTTTTCCATGAGCACCCAATTTATACAGGTCCGGATACTCAATTGCCGTGTGCTGCTAGCTCGACAATGCCCGGCTGAGGCCCATGACCAGTGGCAACCACGGCCACGCGACGAATGGCTTGCAGCGCCGAGAAACGGCCGAACCTCGGGATAAGACTGAGACTTAACAAGCCGACAGTGATTGGAGATGGGCTCGGGCAACGGTTGCATTTTTCTCCCAGACTCGTCAAGACTTACATCGTCTTAGAGTCTTACATTATCTTACATCATGATCATTTAAGTGTGGCCTGCTTTGCCAAAAGGCGGAAATGAGCAATTGCACCTGGAAATCGTTTCCTCCGGTCGAAATTTTGCATAAGAAAACCTCTTGGGAACCAAAGAAGTTATAAAATTACTGTCACAAGGCCGCTAATCAAACATGGCAATGGGAAATCCCCCGAACCAGGGCAGGGTATCCCCTTGACATCCCTGGACAGCACAGCAGGATGCCCCCATTTTTGTGTCTGGGTGAAAGCTGTTTCGGTGCCGAAGTCTTTTTCGCCTCCTCTGGAGGGTGTTGCGATCTAAAGGCCACGTCCAATGATCTGCAGGGGAGTTCCTTTGTTTTTTAGGGTTTTGATTAATCAAAATACTGGGAAAGTTGACAAAAATCATCAAAACAGAAAAGAGAAGGCTTTTGTGATCCCTGACACCTTTTGAAAAGCAGGACTGGTGGTTCGGCCAGCATCTGCAGAAGATACGAAGAAAAGTGATGAAAAGTGGGGCAATCAGCCCAAGTGATGCAAAAAACACATGATCATTGGATGCCATCTAAGTGGAAGCGCCCCAGCCCCAGGATGCCAGGGACTTGGGCCTGATGGCATAGGTGTGACGGAAGATACATACTAGTAACAGCTGTTCTGCGGTCAGCTGCAAAATCAGAGTCTTCAATTTAGTGATGCACCCATCCCTTTTTTTATACATTCCACACACACGTGTATAAAGCAAGCTAGAAAATGATTACAAATGGAAGAAAGCACATGTACATCTTTATTTACATTGGTGTCGTCCCTGCATTATCTTGTCATGGCAGTGAGTCAGATAAAGCTCATCCACCGTCACACCCGCCACAACTTGAGGTCATTCCTTGAATTCCCTGTCGCTGGTGACTGATGCTACCTCAAGCGCCTCAAGCTCTGTAGCCACTGCTGGGGAACTCCTATCCACAGCTGCTGTGTGGATGGGAAGCTTGTGCGATTCAGTCTTCAAAGCGAAGAGGACGTCTTTCAAGCCTTGTCCTTAGCAGTTTCAGCGATGCATTTTGCATCATTTTGCCTTGGTTTCTTTTTGAGCATACCCTGATAGCAGAAACCAAACACGATATGCTTGGCAACAGCAAAAGGTGCTACTTATCCTACGTGATTCAGCCAAAATTGCGAAAAACGAAAGCCACATAAACCCAACATAACCTGACTGAAGCCACAAAAAAAAGGTGAAAACATTGACTGAAACAAATCACCAAGGGTCTGAGTACTGACCTCAAATCGTGCTACAGCCACGATTCGACAACCCGCATCAAAAACGGCTCTTCCATGCAGGGTGAACAAGGGATTGAAGAGCTGCCACTCTTCGCTCTGTTCGGGACTAGAAATAAGTCGATTGGGATAGGCAAATAAAACTAATTGTGGGTCATCTCATGAACCTTTTACCACAGAAGGTCAGGGAAGGTGAGGTTGCATGTGAACAATGCAGTATTCAATACAGAATGATTTGAGCAGTAGGCATGCAAAACCCCAAATGCCATACGACTTTTCAGCTGGCACAGCAACTGCCAGCCCCAAGAATAAGCCCAGCGTGGTCAAACAACAAAATCTCAACTTCCAGGTACATTGCCGAAGAATCCTGCCCTCCACATTCCCGACACAAGAAAAAACACTAAATCAAGACAAAGGTGACATGTCTCGTCTCATTTGATTGACCTCTCCCTCAAATTGAAGGACGTCTGAACCTGCGATGGACAAGCTGCTGACGCTAACATGCCCCCATGGTCAGAACCCCATTGAAAGCCCATTGTGGAGCTTGTTATTCAACCCTACGTAATGATTTGGAAGAAACGGAAAAGGAAGGGGCATAGCTATAATTCGGCGTAAAACAAGCAGCGGACCACTTTTTGGTTGCCCTGTCAGGCCCTATCTTTTATCGGCCGGCAAGAACCTGCTATTGGTGTTCAGGGCAATATCCGTCGCCATCCTGGAGGTGCACAGTGCCCAGTGCTTTACTAGAAATTTCCAACAGGACTCCAATTTCAAAGACGCTGGTCGTTTAACATAGCGAAAATGACCCCAGTGATTGGAAGGCGTGATTTTCTGCCGAGAAACCGCACTCATCGCTCTCCAGCTGCCAGTCACTAGGATTCACTGCACCTGGGGTCAAACTGATGGTAAAACTGCGTAAATCATCTCGTTTTTGGTGGGGAATTCTCCATTGATTCATTGATTGCTATAGGTAACCTGGGAGAATCACCGTCAGCAAACTGCCCAACAAAGTAATAGACAACATATAGACAGCATATATCTGCCAGTCGAAAACTATTGAACCTGGGGCAAACATCCGCCCCACAATGCTTTAGATCATCTCAGTGGCGAAACCCAAGCTTTTCTTGAACAGACCCGGCTTCATGGGGAGCCCTGCAAATTTCCGAGAAAAAACCGCTACACTGGTTGATTGTGTTTTTCTCCACCCCAAAGATATGATTTTCATTTGAAATACTTCCCAGGATGAAAATAAGGAGTACACACAATAGCCTGCGTAGTGTTCTTTATGCCTGAGTCATAAATGACCAATGGCATACAACCTACAACTGGATCTATGCCAAGCCCACGTCATTGCACAAGGTAGCCTACTGCTGTTTCATGCACATAAATTCATGAAATTAGTGGTGAGCTAGCAGCTACACATACTATGTAGTACAATATGATCGAAGGAAGTTTAGAAGTCAAACTTCCGACAATATGGACAGATGAAAAGCAGAGCAGGGCAGAGGCAGAGAGAAGAGGAAGATTAGAAGAGAGAAGATCAGAAGAGAAAGAGTAAGAGGACAGAAGATACAGATGCGCGAAAAGGTAGGAAAGTCGCGAAACACTGCGTTTTTCCAATGATGTGTGGCTCCGGAGGGTCGAAAAGTAGGCTCGCTAAAGCGGCGGGTGCGGACCCAGCTGGCCACAGGAACGATGAAAAATTGCACGCCGTTGTGGCGCGAAGCACATTTCCAAGTCAAAATGTACAAAACACACCAGGTCGGACCACTTTTGGAAGTTATGATGTCGAAAAAGTGCACGCCGTTGTGGCGCGAAGCACATTTCCAAGTCAAAATGTACAAAACACCTCAGCGTCGGACCACTTTTGGAAGTTGTGATGTCGAAAAAGTGCACGCCGTTGTGGCGCGAAGCACATTTCCAAGTCAAAATGTACAAAACACCGCAGCTCCGGACCACTTTTGGAAGTTGAGATGTCGAAAAAGTGCACGCCGTTGTGGCGCGAAGCACATTTCAAGTCAAAAGTGTAAAAAACTGACGGTCTCGGACCACTTTTGGAGGTTCAGATGTCGAAAAAGTGTCGAAAAAGTGCACGCCGTTGTGGCGCGAAGCACATTTGGAAGTCAAAAGTGTAAAAAACTGAGGGTTTTGCGCCTTTTTTGACGTGCTGATGTCGAAAAAGTAGACACTGATTAACTTGACTAACTTAAGGAACTTCACTAGCTTAACTACCCTAACTTCGACGACAACAGCAACAACAACAACGACAACAACAACAACAACAACAACTACTACTACTACTACTACAACTACAACTACAACTGCACAACAACTACAACTAGAACTAGAACTACAACAACTACAGCTACAACAACAACAACAACAACAACTACAACTACAACTACAACTACAATAGATCGATGGAGAGATAGATAGATAGATAGATAGATACATAGATACATAGATACATACATACATACATACATACATACATAGGGAGATAGAGAGATAGATAGATAGATAGATAGATGGATAGATAAATAGATAGATAAATAGATACATAGATAGATAGACAGACAGACAGATAGATACATAGATAGATAGATAGCTAGATAGATAGATAGACAGACAGATACATAGATAGATAAATAGATAGATAGATAGAGAGAGAGAGATAGATAGATAGATAGATAGAAAGATAGATAGATAGGTAGGTAGGTAGGTAGATTAGATAGATAGATAGACAGGTAGACAGATAGACAGATAGATAGATGGATAGATAGACAGCTAGACAGCCAGACAGATAAACAGATGAAAGAAAGAGAGAGAGAGAGATAGATAGATAGATAGCTAGATAGATAGATAGACAGATAGATACATAGGTAGATAGATAGATAGATAGAGCTAGATAGATAGATAGATAGATAGATAGATAGATAGATAGATAGATAGATAGATAGATAGATAGATAGATAGATAGATAGATAGACAGATCGATAGATAGATAGATAGATAGGTACATAGATACATAGATACATAGATACATAGATAGATAGTCAGAGAAAGAGAGAGAAAGAGAGGTGACCTCAAGCACCTTTCGGTCCATCAGTGGCTTCGCTCTGCCATCCCTGATTCACAACCACCAACCTCTCCTATAGGTTTCCTATTTTTGAAACTTCCGCCACCGCCTTGTGCGGTACTACTGGTATATGATGTGACATGATCTACATATATCTACATCATATTATATCACAAGGTGTGGCACAAATAGTTGAATGAAACAGCCGGCAAGAACGCTATTCCTTCAGCCAGGCTGCCAACATCATCAGCTGCTATCCGTAGACCCTCATCAAGGCCCAGCCGGGCAGCTTCTTGTGCTAAGTAAGCCTCGGCTTGACATCGGCTTGGAGTCTGGATAACAGTGGATAACCAAAAAACATACAAAACCAAGGATTCTCGTCCATGGTTGTGATTTTCAAGATTGTCTTGCAGTTCCTTGGCAAAAATGAGCTAATTCTCAGCCCCAAAGTCCCAATTTCTCCTAGTTGATGCTTCTTCTATTGGATCCGGGCGAAAGTAAATCAACCTGGCAAAACAATTTGTGCAGGACTTGCTGATAACAAACCTTTTCACTATCAAACAATAGGTGGTTTCTCCTCATTATTTATATATATATATGTGTCCCGGGGTTGAACATGCTGTCTATATCAACATATTTCAGTTGGTCCCCAGTGATTCTTTGACCAAGCAACATTTCTCTGAGCCTCCTCCATCTTTTCAGACCTGAAGGTGACAGACCGCTGGCAATCAAAATTTCGGATCATATCACGGAACACATGGGGGATACTTGATGTGTCTTGATGTTGGGATGGGATTCCAACGTGTCAACTAAGTAACTATCACCAACAACCAGATCAACCAGGACGTGCAGGTCAGAATAATGTAAATTGTGGGCTTGGATCATGTTGGGATATATCCCCAAGAGCCAATTGGGGTTCACCATTCCCCTTCGAGGGAAAAAGGTATGGAAAGGCAAGAAGAAATTGAAACCACGAGGCAGCACACTCTTCAGAAGTTATCATCCAACGATTTTCCTGCAATCCTAATCCTGGTAAACATAAGCTTTGAGCAAATCTAAATTTCACATGGAACCCAGGATAGCAGTCGATCCTGCTAGTTCCACAAACAAATGACACATTTTTTCCGTAACTGCAACTTCCCCAGATACACAAACGCTGCCCCACGAACCTCAGATCCTCAGGGTCGCATGGTCTCCAGCAAGCCAACGCCCGATTCAGTGTATCGACATGACACTGTCACTCCAGGATGAACAAAAACTTGACTCTTAATTGGGGAGTTTACCCAGTTTACCCCGAGAATTGTGATAAATTGTTCTTGAAACATCTGGAAACTGGTATCCCAGTTACCCCAGTTACTTAATGTTAATTATATGAATTGATCAACTGGGGGTTTACCTGGAATCCCGGGTGAACATTCTGGACCGCCCAAGGGGCCCGTCATCCACCATCTTCTCCAGGAGGATGGCGATGGTAACATTGATCAACACCTGAGCGATCCAACCAGTGCTTTTCTTCCGACGCATCGGACGGGCCCCTCCATGTTGTCCTATAGGAGTAAATCATGGATCCGGAAAAACACCGGAAAAAATTCACGAGAAAAAAACGTGTTTCGATCAATATGACCTGCGCCAACTTTTGAACAGTTCTTCATTTTCGGCATTTCATCCTGCATTTGGAGCCCTCAGATAGGGCAAACACTTTCAGGACATGAAGGCTGAAACCAGCGGAAAAATGCCAAGGGCCAATTAGTCGAATCTATGCCCATAACTAGTATATCCCCAGTATATCCCATAGATCTATCTTATCCCCCTGAAATGGTTGGTTTTATACCCCTATTGGTTTTATACCCCTATTGAATCCCTATTTGAATTGGTTTGGAGGATGCGGTTCCCAGCATGGCAATGATATGTAATGGTGCTGCCAAAACTCAACTCCACAAAGCAGTTGAAACGAAATGAAATATAGGATGCTTCCTCGATTCGGACATTCCGAGGCTGGGGTACAAAAAGAAATGAACGACGATGGAAGATGTCCCCTACAGGCGGGTCCTTGTAGGGGGTTCAGCACATCTGATTTTGACATACATTTAGTTATCAAAATGTTGAAGACTATTGCGCAAAGTGTCCTTCGAGATCTCGGGGAACACTGCCGCTAAATCTAAAGTCAAATTTAGATGCTGATTTGTGTTGGAACAATGATATTCGTCAAATGGGAAAAACAACCACTTGTAGGCATTTACAACCAATGTGGTTGGTGGCAAGTCATTTTGCTTCATCATACCAATCCAGAGGGACAATGTCAACAAAAATGAAATGAGAATACATGAACAACACACACACATATATATATAGTCTTATATAGTATATTCACAACATCTGTGAAATTATAGGTATGAAAAAACAGCGATAGAACCAAAATTTCAAACCACCAACCAGTTCTTCCCAATCTTTTGACATCAGTGGATCAGATGTACCGCGATCTGCCCATGCCCAGGCTCCAAAGGCTAGGAAGCTATCCTCGCCATACACCAAGGGTCTAGCAACCGCCTCGGACCTGCAGTTGGAACGTTTCCGCCTCTTTTTGAGCAAACTTGCATCATCTGAAAGTCATTGTTACGACCACTACATAGTATGTATATCTATCTACCTACCTATCTATCTACCTATCTATCTACCTATCCTATCTATCCTATCTAACCTATCTGATCTACCTAATCTATCTAACCTATCTAATTTATCCTATCTATCTATCTATCTACCTATCTAATCTAATCTCATCTAATCTAATCTAATCTATCTATCTATAATTCTAATTTTCGAATCAATCAATCAATCTATCTATCTGTCTGTCTGTCTATCTATCTATCTCTATCTATCTCTATCTATCTATCTATCTATCTCTATCTATCTCTATCTATCTCTATCTATCTCTATCTATCTCTATCTATCTATCTATCTGTCTATCTATCTGTCTATCTATCTATCTATCCATCCATCCATTAGATTTAGATCTATCCTATCTATCCTATTGATCCTATCTATCTTATATCTATCTTATATCTATCCTATATCTATCCTATATCTATCCTATATCTATCCCATCCTACCCTACCCTACCCTACCCTATCCTATCCTCTCTTCTCCTATCCTATCCCCTCCTATCCTATTCTATCCTATCCTATCCATCTATCGATGTCTCTCTTTCACTCTCATATACGTATAGATATTTGTAAATATGTTTGCATGTCTCTATATATATATAGATAGATGTGTGTGTGTAAATATATTTGCAAATAGGATATAGATACATTTATCACTGACTGGACTGTAGTCAGTGATCCACGAACGAGATAATAATTGTCTAAATATCGCAATCTATCTCATTCATGATTGCAGTCTTTCCATGGAAATTTGCTTGAAGG